TTAGGACTAGATAGAGAGTTAGAGGTATTATGGAGGCTGTAGCAAGAATGTTAAGTAAGAATGTGTTGTTATGGTATAAGGTATAATGTGGTATTTTTAGGTAAGTAATTGTTGCTAGCTAAGTTTAAGATATGATATATTGAAAACCAGCTTTACCCTATCCCCCCTTTTGGCCTTGTGCCACATTTTTGTACTACGCAAAATAAATATTACTTTCCTCTATGGTAGCTAGACTTTATGAATTTAAGATCAGTACTAGATTGGCAGCTAGGTCTCATCATTTTACAGTTGAAATGGCTAGATGTAACCATATGTTCTATGCTAACAGTTTCTTAATCTGATAAGTATGTTCATGGTAATTGTTTTGATGGGCTATCCTCTTTGGTATCTAGACTTTATGAATTTAAGTGCAGTACTAGATTGGCAGGTAGGTCTCATCATTTTACAGTTGAAATAGCTAGTTGTAAGTTCTGTGTTAACAGTTTCGTCTATGGCACTTCTCGTTTGTGGAACTCTCTTCTTCCGTCTTCTTGCTTCCCAGTTGACTTTCATCTTCAAAGATTTAAATGCAATGTCCATCGTTACCTAGTGACTCCTCAATTATTGCTCTTTTAATGTTCTCTATCCTTAATATTCTTTTCTTATATTCTCTGACACTCAGTAACCCTTTGCGTCTTAGTGACTTTATTGCCTTTTTGGGTGAAATGATTAAAAAATTATAATATATGACTGCATTTAGTAGATCTACTATTTCAATGTCATCAGATTAGAATGTTAGTGATATAGCAAGCGGTAACAAACAAAGGCTCTTAGGCTGGATCTGCCTTGCAGCCATGTTTAGTCAAGAACGCGGATCAGTTTAGTGTTTTTTAATATTGTAATTAATTCTTAATTACACAATATTCTTAGCTCCACATTTTTCCACCTACGAGTGTTATTGGCATCGTGAAACCAAGAGAGTCGTGTCATCGGAAACTAAACCGGCCCCCGTCTTGACTTTCTTAAGGTGTGTAAGGTGACTATAAGCACTCAGCAGAATTTTTAAAGGGCAGATGAATTTTTCTTGCAGGGTCAACAGTCATCTAAGTAAGGTCGACTGGACTCCATAGCTATTTACGCAGCCTGTGCTGTTATGACACGGCATGGGAGAAGGGCTTTGTAGAATGAAGTCACCGGCCACGGCAAAAGGTTCCCTCGATTGAATCAACAGCCACATACCTTTTTACTTTGATTTGGAGGAGAGCCGCTTTCTCGGAGAGGGATGGTCTCAGCTCGGTCTATTTACCCAAGACACGCTACAAATGAATAATCTAGTTTTTTTGTGAGGAGGGAGGTAGTTAAAAACGAAGGAGGATTCAAAACAAGATCTGTCAAAGCGGGGTTTAATAAGCACCTCATCGTCCTTAAACCTAGATATCTGAAGGAAACTGGTCAGGGGCGCAGGTACCCAGTGACCCTACGGCCACATAGTCTATCGTTTCTATCAAGCATAGTGTTATGTGGTCCTCCCCTTTTTCATATAAGTGGAGTCAGTCAGAATATATATATAGAGAGAGAGTAAGCAGAGATTGTGATTGAGTTGGAGGTAGAGTAATAGTGTGAGGTAACCGCTTGTAAAAGTAAGTTACAAGCACGTAGACTCTAAGGAAGTCCTACTTCGAGACTGTATGTATATATATATATATATATATATATATATATATATATATATATATATATATATATTATTGCTACTAACCAACCGCGTTCCTGGATTTACTAACAGTATTACCCATTATTGTGTAAATACATTTAATTTCTTATCTTTAATTCCTGCGTTTGTCATTCATTGGAGACCGAATTTCATCTCGGGATCCACAACACATAGGCACTCTAAATATCTCAGTGATTCCAAGGACGAAACCGTCCGGAGTTTCAACTCCTGTAGGGGAATCCATAACGGTAAGTTAGAGGAGGAGTGATCAGCGACCAACCCCCGAAGACACCCAACGGCGGAATATGCAGATATCTACACGGAAGAGAGCAGCACCAGATGGCGGACTTTGACAGACCAAGCATCCGATAGCCCGATACAACCGGGTTTACCAGATCTCGCTTTTCTCAACTCATTTCGTGACACGAGGGAGGTGCTTCTGGCCAAGTGTGTAGGCTTCTTCTCTTGTCCACCAAAATCAAATCCACGGGAATACCTTGTCAAATTCTCTTTAATTCACAAACATAACCGTCATAAAGGGAGAGAAAAGGGATAAGGAGAGAAGATAACGATCGAGATACTCGGATGAGAGCGGGTGTCAACGCCGAATAGCAGCCGTCTCATGTGTCAACGTTATATCTTACCTGGCTTTGATATCTTTTACTAGATCATAAAGTCAGTTGACGAACCAGTAACAAACGTTTGCCAAAAAATTTTGGTATGGTTTTGAATATTTACTGTACAGATGGGTAGTGGAAGATTTTTTTCTTGTGAAGGTGACCAATGACGCAAAAAAGTTTTGCAACTCCTGATATAAATAAAAATGGAAGATTAATTAAATATGTTTAAATATTATAATAATTTTGAATATAAACCAATAATAACAAAGATAGTAATAATAATGTTTGAACATAAAATATTAAGAATGCTTGAATAACATGATAATCTTTGCATATAATAATAATTTAGTAATATTTACAATGTTTACAAATAGTCATAATATGTTTCAATATAATATAAAATAATACATTGTAGTATAATATAAAATAATAATAATAATAATAATAATAAATATTACTTTTATTAAAGAATATTCCTATTAATAATAATAATAATAATATATTAATAAAATATAAATTAAAAATGATAATCTTTGCATATAATAATAATTTAATATTATTTACAATTTTTACAGTCATAACATGTTTCAGTATAATATAAAAAAATAACATGGTAGTATAAAATAATAATAACAATCAACACTATTTTAATTATTCGGACTATTGTCCTCATCTTTGATGCCATATTTATTACAACGTTTCGGCCGTTGTACGCTCCGGCCGTCTTCAGGTCGTTGGAATGTCGAACTGAACCCTTTATTTCGCTTACTGGGGTAGACTGTTCTAGTTCCACGTGCCATGTTTAATGGATGTCAGTTATCAGTTATCTCCTGTTAATTCCCCTCTCCAAGTTCTCCACTACCTTAACCAGGTCACACTCTTTGGGTCCTGTCACTGGATCTAACTAACGCCTTTATCCACTGTGCCACGTGTCCTTAATAATAAAATATAATTTAATAAAATATAAATTAAAAATGATAATCTTTGCATATAATAATAATTTAATATTATTTATAATTTTTACAGTCATAACATGTTTCAGTATAATATAAAATAATAACATGGTAGTATAAAATAATAATAATAATAATAATAATAATAATAATAATCAAATTCACGCGAATGGTCTCATCAAACGCTCTTTGACTTTTCTTCAGCAGTAGGCTGGGCCACCGCCACCAGAGGGGAAAATGGAATAAGGAAAGTGGATGACGATCCCGATGATCAGATGCGGGTGGGTGCTGACTACTACGGTAATCTAAAGGACTGTATGAAGATATTTACATAATTTTTTCCCGTTCTAATGTTTCTTACTTCTAAATATTTTATATTGAGTGATAGGAAAATTTAAGGGATAGAAAAAAATTCTTTCGAAACAAATTAAAGAGTGCCAAACTATTCCGTGATATCTAGTTTATGAGGAGATACAACGTGGGACATTTTCCTCACAGATGAAGAGGAGATTTGAATCGACGAAAACGTATTTCTCTGTCGGGATGCTGAGAATCCAGCCCGCAAAGAGAAAAATGTTTTGGTGTTCTACCTATGCGAACAAAGCAGATTATGCTTGGATCAACAGAAAAGTATGTAACAGATGGTTATACAACGACCAGAATTCAAACATTGTGAATGCTATAAATATTAAAACAATGGGTCGTATGCAATACATCTTGTAACAGACACAACGGTCTTCGTATTTAGTACCCGCGTAAATGACATTGCAACAGTGCTGACACCATGAAACAAAATAAAAAGTTGTGAACTGTGAGGCTTAATAAACATTTCGCAAGCAAAAAGAAAAATTCACCGTGAACTTCTTTCGTATAAGGAATAGATACTAAGAAGGAAGTGGATGTCGGTCTGGTGTAGGGCATCCAGAGAGGAGCACCCGAATTTTGCGATACGTTACTCATGACAGGCGTCTATCATCCTCACCTACAGAAGACAACATTGCGCACATTGTAGCTTTGACTGAAGACGATAATGTACGCAGATAAAATAATAATTATGGGGCAGAAGAAGTATTATATAAATAATAGTATGCTAATTCTGTTCCATACTAGTTGGGACATTTACAGTATGTAATGTGAAGGCAAACGGAACAATCATTATGGGACAGAAGCAATATTATACAAATAATAATAGACTGCCTCTGTTCCATAATAGTTGGTACATTTAGTGTATGAAATGTATAGGTAAGTAGAACAATCATTATGGGACATAAGCAGTATCATATAAATAATAATAGACTACCTCTGTCCCATAATTGTTGGTACATTTTGTGTATGAAATGTGTAGGCAAATGGAACAATTATTATGGGTCAGAAGTAGTCTTATATAAATAATAATAGACTACCTCTGTCCCATAATAGTTGGTACATTTAGTGTATGAAATGTGTAGGCAAATGGAACAATTATTATGGGACAGATGTAGTATTATATAAATAATAATAGACTACCTCTGTCTCACAATTGTTGGTACATTTAGTGTATGAAATGTGTAGGCAAGTGGAATATATTTATTATCACGATAACGTTACATATCTCCGTATGTGTATGTAACGTGATTTTCGACATTATCTTCGGTTTACCCGCTGGTTGATGTGTCCACGAAATGGATCGATTCCCTGACAAGAAAAGATCATAATACCTTAAGCATTGACCTGCTGCTACTTGAGTACATTTACCTGTCATCGGTTAGCTTGTTGTTATTGATGGACGGATTGCCGAAAAAGACATGGAATCCAGACTGACAGGTGTCGGGAGACTTGGTCAGTTCAATAACTGATAACATCCTGTCGACTGCAGCAAACTTTGAAAAGTCAAAGATTCTGTTTTGGTATCAGCTTCGTGAGATGCGTTAATGCAGCTGAAATGAACAAGAATAATTCCTGTCTGAATGCATGCGATGAGGAATGAACATTTTTATATACTGATTGATTCTGACTAATATCCTTATGTTGGTTGTTATAGTCACAACTTTCGGCCATTTCTGAGATGAGGAATTATCATTTTTATACACGGATACATTCTGACTAATATCCTTATCTTGGTTGTTATAGTCACAACGTTCATTTTTATACAGATTCATTCTGACTAGTATCCTCATCTTTGTTGTTAAAATCACAACGTTTCGGCCATTTCTGAGATGATGAATTATAATTTTTATACACTGACTGATTCTGACGAGTATCCTCATCTTGGCTCTTATAATCACAACGTTTCGGCCATTTCTGAGATGAGTAATTATAATTTTTATACACTGACTGATTCTGACGAGTATCCTCATCTTGGCTCTTATAATCACAACGTTTCGGCCATTTCTGAGATGAGGAATTATAATTTTATACACTGACTGATTCTGACGAGTATCCTCATCTTGGATCTTATAATCACAACGTTTCGGCCATTTCTGAGATGAGGAATTATCATTTTATACACTGACTGATTCTGACGAGTATCCTCATCTTGGCTCTTATAATCACAACGTTTCGGCCATTTCTGAGATGAAAATTATAATTTTATACACTGACTGATTCTGACGAGTATCCTCATCTTGACTCTTATAATCACAACGTTTCAACCATTTCTGAGATGAGGAATTATCATTTTTATACACTGACTGATTCTGACGAGTATCCTCATCTTGGCTCTTATAATCACAACGTTTCGGCCATTTCTGAGATGAGGAATTATAATTTTATACACTGACTGATTCTGACGAGTATCCTCATCTTGGCTCTTATAATCACAACGTTTCGGCCATTTCTGAGATGAGGAATTATAATTTTTATACACTGACTGATTCTGACGAGTATCCTCATCTTGGATCTTATAATCACAACGTTTCGGCCATTTCTGAGATGAGGAATTATCATTTTTATACACTGACTGATTCTGACGAGTATCCTCATCTTGGCTCTTATAATCACAACGTTTCGGCCATTTCTGAGATGAGGAATTATAATTTTATACACTGACTGATTCTGACGAGTATCCTCATCTTGGCTCTTATAATCACAACAAAATGCCATTTCTGAGATGAGGAATTATCATTTTATACACTGACTGATTCTGACGAGTATCCTCATCTTGGCTCTTATAATCACAACTCCTTCGGCCATTTCTGAGATGAGGGAATTATAATTTTTATACACAATAATGATTCTGACGAAATCCTCATCTTGGCTCTTATAATCACAACGTTTCGCCATTTCTGAGATGAGGAATTATAATTTTTATACACTGACTGATTCTGATTTAAATCCTCATCTTGGCTCTTATAATCACAACGTTTCGACCATTTCTGAGATGAGGAATTATAATTTTTATACACTGACTGATTCTTGACGAGTATCCTCATCTTGGCTCTTATAATCACAACGTTTCGGCCATTTCTGAGATGATGAATTATGTTTTTATACACTGACTGATTCTGACGAGTATCCTCATCTTGGCTCGTATAATCACAACGTTTCAGCCATTTCTGAGATGAGGAATTATAATTTTATACACTGACTGATTCTGACGAGTATCCCATTCTTGGCTCTTATAATCATAACGTTTCGGCCATTTCTGAGATGATGAATTATAATTTTTATACGCTGACTGATTCTGATAGATAGTATCCTCATCTTTCTCTCTTATAATCACAACGTTTCGGCCATTTCTGAGATGAGGAATTATAATTTTTATTGAACTAACTGATTCTGACGAGTATCCTCACCTTGGTTCTTATAATCACAACGTTTCGGCCATTTCTGAGATGAGGAATTATCATTTTTATACACTAACTGATTCTGACGAGTATCCTCATCTTGGCTCTTATAATCACAACGTTTCGGCCATTTCCGAGATGAGGAATTATCATTTTTATACACTAACTGATTCTGACGAGTATCCTCACCTTGGTTCTTATAATCACAACGTTTAGGCCGTTTCTGAGATGAGGAATTATCATTTTTATACACTAACTGATTCTGACTAGTATCTTTATCTTGGTTGTTATAGTCACAACGTTTCGGCCGTTTCTGAGATGAGGAATTATCATTATTATACACTGATTGATTCTGACTAGTATCCTGATCCTGGTTGTTATAGTTATAACATTTTATCTACTTCCGAAATATTGTGCCTATAACAAGCCGAGAAGAATTCAATGGTGTGAATAAATAAGTGTATAATAATAATAATAATAATAATAATAATAATAATAATAATAATAATATCTCCTTACAGAAATAGATGAGACGTTTTAACTATAAAAAATCAAGATGCGTATCCCAGTTCAGATATGTCTGTGTACAATAAATAATTACTCATTCCAGATTTTGATACAGAACTTTTCTTAATAAAACACTTTCAATACTGTTTTTAACTTTTCCCTGATTTTTTCAACTTTCTTTGAACCGGTTTCCTCCGGTTAGTTTTCATAGTCGTTCCTTTTGAGCGCCCTTTACTCGAACTATTTTCAGGCGCCTCTCGTATTTTGTACTTCGTTTCAATTTGAACACTTTATTCAATCTATAATCTCATACAATTCTCATTCGCAATTCATTATAAGGGAGATAACTTATTTTAGTTGATTCTTCTTAATTAATTTGTACTTTTGATGCTTCCTCTGTTTTCCCAATGAAGCAGTTTATATTAATTTATCGCCTAAATGTTTCATAATCATTCCAGACCATGGCCATGTGTATATAATTATTTGTTAAATTTATGTCGTTAGCTGGAGGGCGTGGTTAACTGTTTAGGTGAGGTTCATACGTTTTGGCTCGGTGGAAGGACGAATTAAGTTAAATCTGATATCCTTGAGCTGGGATAGCGGAATAAGAATAGCCTAACCTGAACCAAAGGCATCTGAAGATGACCAGAGGGCCCACCGGTCGATGTGACTATAACAACCAAGATGAAGACATCAGTCTAAATAAATCAACAGAAAATAAATAAATCAATAAAAAGATTTTAATTTTAAAAATTATTCAAGGTTTCAAGTGATAGCAAATCTCCCGAGTCCATCAATAATCGTATTTGTATTATTATCATCAGGATTATTAATATTATTTTAGACATTTGCGTGTTGATATCAGATAGCAAGAAAGTGAGGATGGAAGGAAAAGAAAGAAAGAAAGAAAGAAAGAAAGAAAGAAGAGAGCAAAGGAAAAGAAAAGTGTGGAAAAGGAAAAAAAGGAAAATAGAAAGTAGTGATGTATATAAATGAAGAAACTAATTCATTCGTTTTATTTTACGGTTTATCACCCTGCCGTGGGTTATTAAAACCGGGACATAATTGGGATTGTAAGAATATTTCTTTTTGTTTGTTTGTTTTTTGTTTTTTTTTTAGCGAGGGATTTTTTTTTATTGTTAATGAAACAATGATTTTAAAGATACAAGTGCTACTACTTAACCTATAGTGGGGGATATGGATTCATACTTTTTCCAATAGTGTTTGCCCAGTAGTGAATGCACCGATCTCGACTGGAATTCGAACTCTGCTACCCAATTTCTAATTCCGAGCCGTTATCCAGTACACCACCCGCATAAAGAAAGGAAAGACGGAGGAATGGAAGAGAGGAGGATAGGAACAGGGAAATGGAAGGAAGAATAGAATGAGGGGGGAAGGGAGGAAGGAAGGAAGGAAGATGTTATGGAAGGAGAGGAGAATAGTGATGGATAAAAGAAAAGAAAGGGAGAAGAATGAAAGGAGAAGAGAAGGAAGAGTTAACGAAAGGAAGGAATGAGTGAGTAGGAAAGAAAGTATGAAGGAATAGAGAAGAATAAAAACTCGATAAGGGAAGGAGGGATAAAAGAAAGAAAGGAGATAGGCATGATACGGGAAAAGGAAGGAAGGAAGGAAGGAAGTGTTGTGGATCCCGCGTGAAAAATAGGTATCCAATAAATGACAAATTTAAGCTAAAAAATTAAATGTATTTACACAAAATACAAAAGGTAAAGCTGTTAGTAAAATCCAGGAACGCCGGTTAGTATTAATCAAAGATCGCTATATACTGTCTCGAAGTAAACTTCCTTAGAGTAGAACGTCTTCGTAACTGACTTCTAACGTCAACTCACAGTGTGTATGTACTTTCCACTCTGTTCCTCCACTCGACACTGTACACCTGGTACGACTCCGGTACGACTCATCTTCTCTGCCTGACTGTGGCTATTTTATGGCAGCAGGACGAGTCCATTATATCGTTAGATCCATTTTTTTTTTTGGGGGGGGTTAATATTTTTGTCTCTTGTGGTTGATGATTAGTGGCTCGACGAATTTTCTTTTCCTATTTGACCTTCTCATTACTGTATTTTCCTGCGGTCTTTGTATCTCAAACGCTTCAAAGATTGTATCCATAGCGTCGTCATCTTCTGCGGTTGACGAGCTTTGTTCCTCAATTCGTTTTTTCTGTAGCTGGTCGATATGTCTTCTGTGTCTGAACTTTTCGCCTTTTATGGTATACATTAGATTTCCGATTCTATTGATTACTGTACCCGGCTCCCAGTACGACATATTGTTTCTAAAATTTTTTAAATAAACCCGTTCTCCAGGTTTGAATGATCTTTTTGGCACCATCGGTGTATATTGATTTTTGCTCTTGCTCGGTAATAGTTTATCAAACACCGATCTTATTTTCCTCGCGAACATTAATTCTGCTGGGGAAAGACCCGATGGTGTGTTTGCGTTGGGTGTTATCCTATATACTTGTAGAAATTGCTGTAGAGCTTTTATCGTTGGTATGTCCTCAGCTTTTTTTAGTGCTCTTTTCAAAGTGTCGACAAATCTCTCGGCTTGTCCAT